TAGGGGAGAGAAGAATTACAAAGTAGATAGCGAAAGAGTGATATTTCACTAATACACTGCCACTTGGAGGGTTTATTATAACTAGGCTTCAGCCTTGTGTGCCATGATGAATAAACTAAAAGCAGGCCCAAAGCACTTGTTTCATTTGACGCTACTTTTTATCTGTGTGTTTGACAGATCTAATGAGGCAGGTCAGTGAAGGCAGTCTGCTGGATCTGTTGAGCTCGCTCTCACATTTGCATGCTAACTGTCTCACGCGCTCATTTGACTTTAGAGAAATGAGTTAAAGATGGCTGACGGGGTCAAAATAAACTTGTACCAGAATCAGGTGGTGTCTTTATTATTTGGATACTGTGTGGACTTCAGGATTAAAAAACATAAAGAAGCATTTTTTTCCAACAGTGATGGATGCTCTGTGAAGCTGTTAAGGCATCTACTGTATATGAGCGTAAAAACATACACATAGCTAATTTTGACATTTCATTTAAATAATGTAGTTTATGGTATGGTATAAAGTTTATTCATTTTAAAAAATACAAAACAATTTCATAACAATATAAAAAATACAAGAGATTTCAAATGAAAGGCAGCAGAAGAAGAAAAAAATCTTATTATATCTGCCCCTTTTTTTTCACACAATTAGTTCAATCACAATAATTTTCAAGTAACAGAACAAGTTTATCAATTTGTCAAGTGTTTTATTTTATCTCACTTTACTCTTCAAGTAAAAAGAAAATTGCAACACAATCTGAATTTATTAAAATTCCTAGCATTCCTTGAATAAAAGGTTTCCTCCCACGGACCAAAAACATGTTAGGCTGCTTTCAGGCCCAGGCCTCCCTTGCAAGATTTCTGTGATTTCACTGAGATTTCCCAGGTTAAATAAAAGGTTAATAAATAATAATAAAATAAAATAAAAATGATATGCAGCTTCACCACTGAACAGCACTGTTTCACCATGCAAATAACTCGTTCTGTATCTTGCAGGGTTTTCTCATTCAGCCCAGGCTGGAGGTCGGGTCTATTGCATCGCATATCATCTTAACAATGACGTAAATATGTCAGTGATATTAACGGTAATACGAGTGGCGTAAATTAGCAACATGAAGATCGGCGGAGATAGAGCACATACTTTTCTAAGTAAATTAAGACGGTTCTTATTCATAAACAATTGTGATCCGTACAATCCGGAAGTATTCCTTTTAGCGCATGCGCAAATGAGTTGACACTGGATCGTGCTTCCGTAACAGATCGGGCAGTGACACGCGGCCGTAAAAATTGATCTTTGTGTGGACATGCCTTGCGGGCGTCCGCTTCGAGTCTAATCCTGTACGTGCGGACCTCCGCGGACTGAAGTACACTCGAGTATGTGGGAGCCTTTAGGATGTGCTAAGAGATGATACTCGGCTCCTACCACATCAAATTTTATCTCAATGTTCCTAAATTAGATGAAATATAACCCTTGAAGCAATTTGGTAATGACTCTTCTCTTGTTCACTCCTATTTTCCACTGATGACATGTTTGTTAAGACTAAACACACATTTTAAGCAACGTGTGATCATCCTTTTTGAAGGCTATAAAAAAAATAGTTGTGCTTCATTTAAAATACTGAATTGGTGAAGATTTTATGGAAAAATAAATTCAGATGACACCTGAGCTATGAGTTTTTTTTGGTGGTGGTGGGGGGGGGGGGGGCGTGTTACAGCAAAAAGGTGTCATATCAAACAAAAGATATGCAGTCTTAGTTATAAATGTATGTAATTTAATATATTTTGAATATAAAGTGCTTGGAGTCGGCTCAGGCCTGTCATCTATATCCCACTGCCATCAGTCGGATGTTTGGACATCGTTCTCTAGAGCTGGGATATGAAGGTTTAACTGGTTAGCAAGAATGACACTTAAACTCAGCCTGTCCAATACAATCAGATCATCTGGGCTGCGTCTTTAAAGGGCCAGCCACACCAAAAACACAATCGAGCTGTATGACCTGATAGCAACCTATTTGTTCCTCTTCCTTCCTCCTACTACAGCTACAGGTCTTTTTTTTTTTTTTCTAGTTTTCTCTCCTCAGTCCTATTCGTAAGTCTAAATTTCTCTTGTTAAAATGAGTTTTGATTTCTGCTGTATTGTTCTGTGAGGGGGCAAATGCATGTTAAAAGAACTGAAATAAACTAAAAAGAAATGTGGGTTCCCGTAAGGATGTGACTGAGGATTCAACATTAGGATCTTTGCCAGCTGGGTTTGAGATTTTAAATTTTCTGTCCTAAAACTGGCTCAAAGAAAGTATCACCACTGTGTTGTGGGTCAGGGTGGCAAAATTATCATTTCACTGTGGTTAATGTGGTTTTGTTGGACTTCATTCAATCTAAGAAGAAGTGGACTCATAGAGGTGTAGCTACAGATCGGCACATTTTAGTGCCATTTGAAAAGAACTTCAACAGCCTGGGGTTCTTACTCTAGAACTTGTCTCAGAACACTGAGACACTATGCTATGTAAATGTAACACATGTTGGTAATCACTGTTGCACCACTGTTCAGCACAATACCCCCTGAGGTGAACAAGACACATTGTGGTCTGAAGTCATTTAAGAAATTCCAAATTCATTCTTTACCACAAAACCCCAAGACCAGATGGTCTCTGTGAGCCTTCCAGCATGTTCTTGTTTTGCTTTCACGACAAAGAATCTTCTGCGGCTTCTATTTATATAGTTTTTGCCTCATAGATGCTACATGCCCTCATACTTGTAAATTCACTAATGCTGACTAATTCTATCTGCCTAATCTGGCTCTGAATTTACAAGTGAGCAGTCAGCTGTATGTATCAACCACATGCTGTTGCAGTTCTTATCTAAAGCAAGAACCTTAGAGCAGAAAAGAGATTTAATATGACTAATCACATCTTTGTTTCCAGCTAACAGACTTTATTATAGAAACATATACTGTGAAGCACAAGTACATAAACAAATAGCTTGAGCATCGTCTTAGGAAACCTGATTTGAAACCACCATTGATTCCCTGTGCTGTATAAAAGAAGGTGCAATAATATGAACAGTCGGGTTTTGAGATGAATTCTAGCTCCTTCTGCTCGTATAGAAGCTGCTGCCTTCGACTCAGAGGAATGTGTCTTTTAAATTCAGATACTTAATTTGTGTTAAATCTAACTGCAAAGCTCACTGTGTCCAGGTCATTCACTGATGGGATATTATAGGTGTGATATGGTCAGGAAGACCTAACTTTGCAAACTGAAGAATGTGACGCATCACTAAAAAATTTTTTTATGGGTTTTATTCTTGTAAATTGCGTTTTTTGTATTGTGAAATTCCTTTTTTCATTTTTTGAACTGTAATTTCAAAACTTCAGAATGGTTGACATTTTTCCCTCAACTATCACATCCTTGCTCCTTGTTGTGGAAACAACAACAACATTATTGCAGAGTAAATTGGAACTTTATTATCATCGCAATACCAGTGAGTGCAATATTATTACCCCAAAGGCTTGGAAGGCAATAAATCATAGGCTGTTATATTTCAATTACTACCTTCATTCATGTTCTATCTGCTAATAATATAGTTGGTCAATTCAAGGGGCTCTCACTGGCTTTGATGCCTATAACTGGTTTAAATGACGGTGATGACAAGAAGTGAGGAGTGTGGAAAATGTGAATTTATTGCTATTGATGTCGTTGCAATAATTTTACAACCTAGCTGTTTTTTTTTTTTGTGACATCTTTTAAATACTTTTTTTTTCATTTGTTATTCTCAATTTGTACACATCATTTACAATTGTCTTTTGTTGTCTTTAGCCCTATTCACATGGGATTAGTTTCATAGGGACCACATGCTATTTGTAATAATTACAGAGATTGTCTGTGTTGTTAATCCCGTGTGAATTGGCCATGTCAGTAATTTGTAAAGTTACCTTCTATATTTTGTTGATCTTCGAGTTGCTGTGATAATATTAATCCAATGCGAATAGGCATCCCTGTGATTTGGACAGAAATAGGCGGGATCCGACATGTAATGAGGCGATTTTTTTTTTTTAAAGCAAAATAATTTGGAAAAATATAGAACAAGGCTATTTTAAATAAACGCGTTGCTTGCTTTGGCTTTTTTGTTGTTGTTGTTGCTTTTTTTGCTTCGGCTTTTGTAGATGCTACTTCCTTCACCGCAGAGGACAGCAGGTGCAACGACGCACGCGTGATCAGCTGACCCATCCATCCATTATATGTACCTGCTTCTTCCTTTTCGGGAAGCGGGAGTCACTGGTGCCCATGTCCAACCATCGCTGTGCGAGAAGCGGGGGACACCCTGGACAGGTCGCAAGTCCATTTCAACAGGCAGGTCAGCGGACGTGCGGATGCTCACGCACGTGTCCGGTGACAGGTTGTCCATTTGAGCTTAACGTGGCTTTTTTTTACCTCTTAAACCAGCCGGTCGGACCTGCCTCCTCCTCAACAAGTAGATTAACACAATTTTATATTGTGCATTCTTTAGTTTTCTTTGTGTTGATTCATAAAACCACATCAAAGCCTGAGACCGGCCCGGCCCGCACATTAATCACATTATTATTGACCGGCCCGGTTGTGACAATGCAGCGCGTTAACATCATAACCGGAAGATGTCCGTAAATTTCAGCTAAATCTCAGGCTTTAGTTATCCCGTGCGAATGCGCCACATAAAAAGCAGACGTTTGGGAGTAATTTATTTATTACATGTGGTCCTTGGGTAAAACTAATCACGTGCGAATAGGGATTTTGTTGTCCACTGTTGTCATCACTCTTTGTTTAAAAAAACAGGTCTGTCTTGTAAATGAGTCCCCGAGGCGCAGTGGGATTAACCTGTATAAATAAAGGTTGACTGAATGAATTACTAACAATAATTAAAAAACAAACCTACTCTCCCCTCTCCTTCTATGTAAGATATACAGTAATTTAAGCAACAGGTCGCTTATGAAACTGTTTATAATTTACCGGTCTTTGACATAAGTGTATCTTTCACAGGTGATGCCATAGCCCAGTTGACTGACATGGGATCAGCCGTGCAGTCTCAGTCAGATGGACATGTCACGGTGTTCAGTGATAGAACGGGGATGGTGAAGGCTGCACGTCTACTCCTCTCCTCTGTCACTAAGGTCCTCGTCCTCGCCGACCGCATCGTCATCAAACAGATAATCACATCGCGCAGCAAGGTAAACGAGGAGCACTACCCTGAAATGCATACATCTGCTCTCTGACGTGCCCATTCTCTCCTGAGGCCTTTACTTCTTAAGAGATAAGCCCTCTTAAAGAGTAGTCTGGATGGAATTGAAGGCGAGCAGCACTTTTAGTGACTGTAAAAACCACACAAAGCTTGTCTCTCTTGTTCATACCTGGCTGTGTTCTTAGCCAGGCAGGATGATGTAGCTTCAGACTGAGCCAAGAATGAAAACTGAAGAGGCCTTAATCATGACTGGTTAGCTTTGTATGGGAAGACAGTCGACAGCCCTCTGTCCTGCATTACTGGCAAACACAATTAGATCTCTTCCTCTTCTTTGTGCAGCACAGATAAAAGCTGCTTCATTGCCACTGCCAGCTAGCATATCCTCAACAGCTAAATTAGCAGCTTACAAGGGCTATTATTACCTAAAATAGAGCTATAGGGCTGCCTAATCTGAGTACTTAATTTCAGAGTTCACTGAGGTAATTGTCACATGGATATATAAAAAGGTAATTGATAGTAAAATAAAATAAAATAAAATGGAACTATAATTCCTTGAAGGAAGTTTTATCGAAAAGGTTTTATCTAAAAGATCTTGCATGACCTGTGAGCACTCGGAGTATGTGTTGGGGATGACTTTCGGCTACTACTACGCCAGATTTTAGCCTAATTTCTAAAATTGACTGAATTTTAGCTTTTATTTTGTGTGTTTACTGAGGCTGATTAATCTGTAGCAACCATGTAAATCACGTCAACTCCAAATTGTTATCATTTTGCATTGAGCAATTCATGGTTGCATTCTGAAAGTTTCAATAAAATCTGTGTAGTGGTTCATGAAATATTTTGCTAACAGACAAACACACACAGTCGCTTGCCTCATATAACAGCGAGTAATAACTAAATTTGAAAGTAGAGCAAACGCCCTTCCTTGTTCATTGTTTAAACAGTCAGTCACGTATGGTGAAGGCCTAATTAGTATTGACCGCAGCAGCGTTTTTGTTTTCTTTGCAGAAAAGTAAAGATTTCAGACAAACAATGCATTTCATTGAGGACAACAAAGATAACTTAACTAACAATGATGTGTTTTACCTCTATGTTAGATTTATTGTTCTGAATAACGTTTTACAATAGCATATAGGTTATCTAAACATTAGCTTGCTAACTTGAGAGGCATGTAGCTAATGACAAGTGAGGATTGAGGATAATTTATTATTGTTGATTTTTTAAAATTTTACAGATCAGTTACAATAAACTTACCATTCTATGGTCAGCAAAATATGCAACACATTATTGCTCCCTGCTTCATCTGCGCTGAAAGTGAAACTTAAGTGAACGGCCATGACTTGAAAGTAGTCTGCATGCGCCCTCTGCTGAATACATTGTACAGTTACACCTTATGCAAGTAAGGACATGGCTTGTTCTCAGTGTTTATATGAGCACATAATGGGACAATTATCACCAATACCGATATGTCCCCAAACGCCTATATTGGCCCTACTGATGTATCGGTTGGGCTCTAATGCCAATGCATTGCTTCCCACACATAACTCACATTTATCACGACTGATGTTCTGATATCTGTGGACAGCTGTTGATGCAAACTTCATTTCATTGTTTGAATGTGATGTCTTGTGTTGTTTTAACCTCTGCTAACGAGGAGGAAAAATAACTTATGAAACGCACATGGCCGTTCATCGCTCTGCTTCTCCTGCCAGGTTCTTGTAACCCTCGACAAACTGGAGAGAGTCAGCACCTTCCAGGAATTTGTGCAGATTTTTGGCCAGTTTGGAAACGAGATGGTGGAATTTGCTCACCTCACCGGAGACAGACAGAACGTGAGTAGCATTTTACGGAAGACTTTCCTTCTTTTTATTATGTTTTTCACCGACATCACAGTCATTGGATCACTTTAAAAATCCCTCGTTGGAAGAAACACTGAAAACTCCTGCTGCAGCCAGGTTTTATTTGTAGTATTTTTTTTTATAAACACAAAATCAGATCAAGTGATATAACTGGAATTTAAAATCTGCAGAGACTACACTATGACCTGAACTTTACACAACCAACAAAAATCTAACTGTTAAAAAACTAGTCTTCCTTTGGCTGCTGTCGTTCCTGCAGTTTCTTTGTTTGTTTTATCATCCTGTAAAAGAAACACACGGGTCAGATGTGACGCGTTCTCCTCAAAGACTGTTTCCATCACGACTCAGTGTTGATATGAACTGACCCGTGCTTTCAAACACCCGCTCCCTCTGCAGCACATCAGACAATCTGCAAAACGTGTGCTCAAAGCTTCAGGGAAACACTCCCAACTTCAAGGAGTTCTGACTTTGGGCTGTCAGAGACTGCTAATCCCACTTAGATGCAAATATTCAGCCTTTGCAGCTAAAGCGCTTCGCCTGCAGAAGTTGATGTGAAGTGCAGCGGCTGCGATATCTCGACAGGGAGGGAGAATCAACCATCCCACTGTCTGACTTTAGTCAGATTTTGAAACACACGCCCTCTTTCTCTTCAACTCTCCTTGTTGCTGCTAATGCGTCTTCTCCTCATTTGCAATCCTTTTTTTTAATCATTTATATTATTTTTTGGAGGGGTGTATTCACTCCCACTCATGCAGATGCATGCAAGAGTGCACATGTATTTCAAGGAGCCACCATTTTCATCTATTGAAGCCAGACGAGCTCATAGGCAAAAATAAATAAAAAATTACGACAGATAATTATAACATTTTTGCAATCTGTGGCAAAGTGCTCAGAGGAGTTGATTCAGCTGCCCTTTTCAAATCCTGCCTCTGCATCATTCAAATCTGTATCTTTATGTGGTTTTCGTGCAGAGTGACAAAAGCACATCTACTTTTGCATTCTGATAGTGTCTCCTTTTTAAAAGCATGAAAACTTGTAAACAAATGTGTTATTCTGTATTTGCATGTCCCATCAAGAATCTTTTCATTCAACCTTTATTTATACAGGTTAGTCTCATTGACTCATTCACAAGAGAAACCTGTATTTCTTCACGTCCCTCAGACTCTAAACTGTAACTCATTGGGATAGTGTGTATCTTTTAAAGTAGGATTTCATGAAAATGTTATGAGTAATTATCTAACCTGCTATAGATATCGCTTTGAACCATGAATGGGCAAACTAAGGGAAAACACTAATCAAATGTGTCAATAATTATTTGATTTTTGGAAGAAAGCAGACTTAATAAGACACTAAGTTTGTTTTCTCAGTCATCCAGGTATATAACAACAAAAAAGGTTGAATCATGTCATCTGGACTTCGTTT